TTTTCATCAGGGCTGGAAGAAACCCATAATCTTAATTTAGTCAAATTTATGCGTGGCTTTTTAAATGCAAGGCTGTCCTATTTGCCTTTCACTTACAGGACCACCTGTGTGCCATACACTAAAGTAATGGCTCTTGTTTGTTCCCTACTGGCAAATAAGGCTGTTATCATAAAGCTACCACAGGTAATTCAACACAATTGCCTTTCTCTTCTCCAGGTATGAACAATGGCTGAGCAACAAAGCCTACAGCTGTGCTTTACTAAGTGATTTAGTCTCATCATTTAGTGTGTGGTCCTTTCCAGTAAGTGCTAAGGTCACCCACAGGAAAAACATGTTGCTAATACAATCCCTGACTCCCCAAAAGCACAGTCACCAGAGTTTTTCTAGTTCTGCCTCCTTAAACTTCAAAGGCAAGCATTCTCGGCTGTAATGGACACAGCAGTAATTCCCCTGGGTACAGTTTGTTTCCACCATACAGAAAATGTTACCGCAATTACATGCCTCACAGCACACACTTCATTTCATGAATAATTCTGGCTTTTGGAGAACAGGTTGCTAAAGAGCATACCTCAAAACTTACCTATACAGCAAACTGCAGAACTGTTTTAGCTTTTACATCTATGCATCTGTGTGCCTATGTTTGCACACAGATCCTGTGAACACATCATACCCTGCGTGAACAGATTGGGAATAGAAGGATATTCTGCAGCACATTGTTTATAAAATTCTAACCGTATGTGGGTAAAATTCTGACACGGTGGCTGGATGCAAATGCTTTTGTGAGCCAGGCCGGTGCCATTTGCCTTACTTACCCACGTGAGAACCATCTGTGCATGACAATGTTAATCTGGTGAACCGTGTAGCATGCACCTGGCACATGCGGGGACAGAAAGAAGAAGCTGCTGTGGTCCACCATTGTCTGATACCAGAAAGTTTTGAACTTTAAGACCCTCCATAGAGGGGGTGTGTATGTGTGTAAGTCTGAGATACTAAATAAGGAGTTGCAGGTGTCTTACCTGGTTAGCTTTAAACTAACGGAGTCTCACTCCTATTTGTGTTGAAATGAAAACCTGAAGCTATTCAGGGAAACATTCTCATCAATGCAGCAGTGGAAGGAATTGGATGGTAATTTGCTACAATCCTTTGTCAAAACACTGAGCAATCTACCTCCAGACCTCCACAGATCATGCAGTGATGTTCATAATTTGCACAAATATGATTCAGGGAACATCCAAAATTTAGGGGAAGTGACATTGATATGTTGGCAACAGTGCATTTATTTTGGGAGAATACTGAAACACTCCTCCACTTTCTGAATACACACCAGTGAATGCTGACCTTCAGATTCAGGTGTTCGGGTGACTATCCACATTCACCTGTTTATTTCTGAGCTTTGTCCATAATATCAATGTTCACATGTTTACCAACATTTTTCGTACTTTGGGTTCACTGTGTATGCTCCGAAGGCACACAAGGCACCCACTGTGTTGAAGCTAAGCAGGTCTGGGGCAGGCTTGAGCTTGGAGGGGTGACCACTTGGGAACTGCATGTAGAAACCTTGACTTCCACAATAGAAAAGAAGGTGCGATGTAAATAGCATAAATATAAATAGTATAAAATATAATATTATAAGTAGCATTCTTTCTAGATAGAAATAAAGAAAAGCTGTTTTGTTCATTTTTGTTTTCTTTTGCAAGAGATGAGGCATCTCAAAAATATGGCGAAGCATCCCTTATGCGGATGTAGCCCTTGGTGACACAAGCCAGATGCTTGCGAGCTGCACATCAGCAGCTCTCCATGATAAAATTGGACAATTCTGCCACAGAATTGGACATGGATCGGGTGTAGAATAAACTTAATCCTAAACAAATCTGGCTCAGTGAATCACCAGTTGATCCTTCCAATCAGCGGCAGGAGGAGGCTGTTGATACAGATCAGTCGGATGGATATGGGGGATTCAACACTTGGCCCTGTCTGGATTTAGCGAGTGGATGGGTAGGAAAAGCACACCTACTGTACATTTTAGGCTGCCAAAAAGAATCCAATAGATTTTTTGACGGGGGCAATGGAAACTCAGTTGCAGCCCTTCCCCTCAGAAGGAGACTGTGACAGCAGTAGGGGGCAAAGTATGGAAGCCCCCCGCCCACAAATGTACGTATCCACACAGGAGTCTCCTGATCTAGCAATTGCTAAATTATTATACCAATACCTTGAGACAGGAATGACACAGAAAGGGCTACCACTGTTTATATTTAAAGGATCTCTAAATAGCTTGCAAGGAAATTTAAAAAATTTAAATCCAGCATGGTGCACACTGAAATACACCATAATCCCCACAGCATTCACATAAAACATCAACAAAAGCATTAAACCTAATAAAACCAGCATATAAGGGCTTGGTAGGAAACCTAAAACAGGGAGCCTGAAACTTGTTCTAGTGGCTCCTCCTGGCAAGAACAAGGACAGTGCATGCAAAGCAAACGATTACCAAGGCTCACCTTGCCAGTGATGCTTGTAATCACACATGCGTGATAGAGCGATCATCATGGCACAGTACAGAGGTAGAATTGCTGCGCAGAGCCTCCAGCTTTTCCCACGTCCTTTCTCAGTGAAGCAGTGCAACTTCCCAGCCAAGTAGAAGGTGGTAAAGCCAAGGCCTGAAAATGCAACTGCCAAAGGAAAATGAAAAAGTAGAACTAGGCAGTGAACTACAGACCGTAGCATGTAATACTGTCATCTGTTTAGCAACCTAGTCCTTTTGTTGTGGGGAAACAACAACTTCTGAAGAGATCACCGCATCGGAGGATATTTCTGCCCAGTGTTTTCTGTCAGTGCAAAGGCACATAGGCTTCTGTACAGACATTCTGGCTATTGGACCTAGAAGCTCATATAGGTGATGAGTCATTTCTTGGAGTTCATCCCAAATCATCACATATTCCGTATTTAAGTGCGTCACTGAGACTAGCTCCCATTCCCATCCTGGAAGCTTAACTCATCCTCTCCTTTTCAAGCTACTCTCAGTATAACATCAAACCAGCTCTAGACATTTTGCTCTTGTGGTGGAGCAGCAGATGGTGTTCCTTCAGCAAGACAAGGAGGAGCACAGTCACAAGGCTGGACAAGTGATTTTAACATCTGAGGCAGAAACCCACAAGGGCCTTTTCTTCTCCTAGAAGGAAAATGCAATGATCATCAGTGAAGCAACTCTTTTTTGCCCTTTCATGACACACCAAATAGTTCCCTGCGGTGGCCACCTCCTTCTGCCACAGGATTGTTTTTGTTAGTTGCGAAGTCGTGTCTGACCCATCACGACCCCATGGACAATATTCCTCCAGGCCTTGCTGTCCTCCACCATCCCCAGGAGTCCACCCAAAGCTCACACCCATTGCCCCAGTGACTCCATCCAGCCATCTCATCCTCTGCCGTCCCCTTCTTCTTTTGCCATCAATCGTTCCCAGAATTAGGCTCTTCTCCAGTGAGTTCTTCCTTCTCATTAGGTGGCCAAAGTATTTGAGTTTCATCTTCAGGATCTGGCCTTCTAAGGAGCAGTCAGGGTTGATCTCCTCTAGGACTGACTGGTTATTTATAAATGACAGAAATGTATCACAATCTGCCTAGAGTTGGTTTTAGATCAAATGCAATGCTAGCACGGTATCTGTCATTAAGATAATTTATGTTAATGTTTTAGTGGATCTTCCATAATAGGGGGTTTTAAGTGATGTGGCAGAGCCAGTAGGCATATCCTTCCCTAAGAAAGAGGGTCCATTGCCAGAAAAGGACACCATGCAATTTATAACTTGAGGCACAGGCATTTGGATGGTGCCCTCTGACAAAGCAAGAATTTACAACGTGTCAGGGAACTTATGTTTACAAATATTGTATATAAGGTAATAAGATACACACAAATGGAAGAGCTATGGACCCTGTTTGCATGTAACATTAAATTCAAGTTTGCATCCAATAACCTATTAAAATTTTCCTAAAAACCTTGCCACAGGCCTTCTTGTGCCTCATTGTAAATACTTTCTCACTAATTGAAAATGTAATTACTTTGGTGCGTTGCTGATAAAACTATTTTGTGTGTGCAATTTTCATCATGGTGCATAATTAACACAAAGTGCTGATTTTCACCTTCAATCACACAAGCAGACATGTTTGAAAATGAAACAATAATCTGTGATGAAAACCTTACATTGACTTAAATTTGTGGCACAAATACTGGATTCTCTCATGGCCCATCTTAAGTAATCCAACCAATGGTGATTTAAGAATGTTCATGACATCTTGAACAAAGGTTTTGGTAGGAAGTAGCAATGTATACAGGATATGTTAAGAGTTGAATTGCCAGAGGGAAAACAGGGAGGACTGTGCCACCTTTTTCAGTAGGTTCACAGTGGCCTTCTACTTGAGGTAAATGGATTCTGCTACTTTTTTCACCACGAATGAAAGTGTCACGTTTCTTGCTCCTTTCATTCAATGACAGAATGTTGGACTTGGACTGGAGAGACTTGGATTCATTCCTATGACTAAGGTTAGTCCAATTTCTCCTAAGCTAAGCCTAACATCAAAAGGTTGTTCTAAAAATAAATTTAGCTAGTGTGGGAGGCATCTAAGTAGGCCAACCTAAGCTCCTTGGAAGAAGGGCAGGACATAAATGCCAAATGAGTTGGAAAGCTCACCTACTATAATCAAATACATGCCATAGAGTAACTTTAAAAAAAATATCGGACATAACTAACATGTGGAATCACTGAACAGACTGCTGTTGCATTCTATTGATGCATTCAGCTCACCTTTCCATAACCATACACCAAGTTGTGTGGTTCCTATTATGTACAGTTATATGAAGAATGCCCATAAGAAAGAAGTAACCTTAAGCAAAAATTGTTAGGATTAGGGTAGGGACAAAACTCAGTGGAATCTGTCCTTCTAGCATTTGTGAATAGGAAACTAATATTCAAGAAAGCTCAAGGCTTATCCATTAATGTGTTTGGGTAAAACATTGCCTGTTGGTCCAAACTGATTACATGTGCACATGCCATAGCTTCTTAGACCATGGTTATTCCACCTGAATAAGGCTACTGAGTTACTTTGGATCAGTCTCAAGAGCTTAACCTAATCTAGCCTTCCACAATGTGGTTATCTGCCTGGCCCCTGCAATGTGTTGGGCAACAACCCACTGCCAAGAGGGCACAACCATTTGCCTGGGCAACAAAGAATAGTGTACAGGCTGCTGAAGAAGGGATATAATGCTCTCCAGGAGTCATCACATGTTGGTGAGACAATGGTCTAGCAAGCAGAAGTGTTTCCTAGCCTGCTTTTTACTGTTAGGATAGGCTGGCAAAAGAGGGGGTGACATCCTTTGACCACCAGCCACCTGACAAGTAGAAACCAGATCAGGAAGTATTTTTGCAAACTAGTAACATGTCTGGGGGTTTTTGTTTATTTAATTTTTATACCACCCAACAGCTGAAGTTCTCTGGGCAGCTAACAAAAGTATGCTATGTTTTATGTGCCAGGCTATGTTCGGTTTGTAAGTTTGTTTACATTCATCTTACCATGAACTCTCAGCTCCTGCACCAGTGGCAATGAAATAGCCCTTCCCTGTCAGGGAGGGGTGCCATGGGTCTTAAGCATGGAGAGAAATAGCACCCCCATTTCTAGAGTATGTGCCACAGAGTCATAGCACAAATATGTATGGTGAAATAATTGGAGAAAACATAATACCACCTATGGTTTATTTTAATGAATTAATTTGGTTGTCAAAAAGAAAAATATTATTTTTAATTAAAAATAATCATTGTGACTTTTTTTTCAGTCAGTTAAAAGTAAGGAGTTTCCTTGAGTTTTACCTTTTGTAGAATGTATACTTAGGAGAGTTCCTGGAGTAAGAGGGATTCTGTTTTCTTTTAACTATAGCACAAAAGCAACATGAAGCAGGCACAAATTAGCACATCCACAGGGCTTCTTGAGAAAAAGGCAGACATTAATATGTGTGCTTTTTTCACTTGGGAAGAGAACAAATGTAATTGAGGGAAAGGGACTGTGAAACAAATTGGATTGAAATGTGTTAATATTGAATTAAACAGATGGTGTGGTCCAGGTACCTAGGGTCATTTATCATGCTACTTTCCCTCAAAGTTGTTCCAGAAAAAAGGAATGGAACATATAAAATGGGTTTATTAGGATATTTGTTTACTCCCTAGTGCAGGTGTTCTGACAGGGATCTAAGCACTGGCTTCTCAGCCCATGCTAGCTTTCCCCTCCTGAGGAAGGAAAAAAAAGGTGGCCAGGGTTCAGCAGGTTTTCACTCCCAAAATGTATTGTAGTTGTTGCAAACATTTTCATTCTACCCTTCTCAAAAGCAAAGTTGGCTTATATTGCAGCTCAACAGAAATGCAAAGTGAGAGCACAAGGCTTTGTTTTGCTTTGGTAAAGCAGCAGTGGGCAACCTGTGGCCATCCAGGTATAATGCCTTTCAGGCCCAGCCAGCAAGCCAATAGCGAGGGACCATGCGAATAGCAGAGCAAAATATCTGGAGGGCTAGTAGTTGCTCGCCCCTGCTGTAAATGCACCAAACATGACGCTGATCAGAGTTGACAGGGATGCCGTCCCTTCCCCTTGCCTATAGAAAAAAAACAGCAGTTCTGGAAGGAGGTGATTCAGATCTGGAAACTGGAAGTGGAGAAAAGTTATCCCACCCTCTTCCACTGCAGCAGCTCCAAATGGATTTGGCTGGCTAAGGGAGTAGTTTCAGGAAGGAAGTGATGTTGGTCTCTAATCCAGAATGAGCCCTGCAAGAATGAGCCTCCCCAAACCTGTTGCTGGCTGAGGAATTTTAAGAGCTATGGTCAAATCCAGCTGGAGGGCACCAGGTTTAGCAAGATGGGAAATGAAAATAACATGATATGTAGTTTAGCCTTTAGGTTAAAAGTGGCTGGATTTAGTAATCTAGGGATGACTTTCAAAGGTTTTTTTTTTAAATCATACACTGGAATCCCATGCTGCGCTTTATACAGTCTTCATATATGAAAGCCAAAGACAGAAGAGAAGAAGGCCTGTGATGAGAGGAATCATTTCCAAAATGGAAATCACAGTATTAAGTTTACAAGATCTGAGCAGAACTGCCAAGGACAGAACTGTTCAGAGGGCATTCAATCTTTGGGCTACTATAAGTCAGAGATGGCTGAACGGCATGTAACAACAACATGCGATACAGCTAGCTTTGGTAAGCCGGAGGCAAAACACTAATTAATATTTTGTGATGTAGTCCACTTACGAAAATGGATCCAAGACCAGGTGTTAACAATCAATATTGCACTGTCCTCATCCTCTTACAGCACATGATTGTTTGGCTGTGTGAAAAGTGGTGAGAACATGAGCATGATAGGGTTTCAGCCAATGCACAGGTGTTTGGCAAACCCTGCTTCAGGCTGTTAGTGTGTTTGTGAAAGATGAAGGACAGGAGGAAGAAATATTGACATGCGTAGTCCAGAATACCACGAAATATTTTGGGTAACTGCAGCTACTATACTCTGCAGAATGACCAACTGAGAGAACACTGCCATGTGTAACAGGTATGCAACTATTACCGTTTGTCCCCAAACTTAGCCTCACTAATGTGATATTTATTCTTCAACTGATTTTCTCAGTCATGCAACCATTCAGA